CGGAAGAAACGCACATTGTTACGTAATCGCGTTTTCATTTTTCGTGAATTTCATCATTAAAACATCCTGTTGCAACATTGGTTGGATTGAATCAAATACGAAATAAATAAATAAATAAATAAATGTATGCATTTGGAACTCTTCAATAGTCGCGCTGCGTTGCGTGCGCGGATTTCAATTAAATTAATTATTATCGGTTTGCTAAATAGAGGCGTATGCACACCACATAATGGACACATTGTTAGTTACGGATAATAAACCAATCAACTGTGAATCGTTCCAAATAAATACACATAACATTAATTAATTAATTAATTAATTAAAAGCCAATCTCTAAAGCAAATTTTCAAGTTAACAAATGTGGACTTTCTGTTGTTTCTTTCAAAAAATTAAAAAATAATTAACAATTCAGCTAATGTTATTCAGAATTTTAGTATTATGAAAGCACAACTCGCGTGGCGTCTGATTGACTCTGCTACGATGTAATGTGCTTTGACAAATCGTCAATCAGTATGCAGATACATAGGTCAGAGTTGCCCAATTTCTACTGGCGTCTCATAGACGCCGATTGTCGAGGATTAATGACTTAACGTATAATTTATAATATATTAAATAAGATGCATTTTCTATTATAAACAAATCTATAAGATTTGTTGTTTTTATTAACATTTTTAGTAAAATTGAATTCATGAATTCTATCCTACAGTTAAATTTATATATAATTCAAATTCTATTTTATTTGATACGTTATTTTGTAAAGTAAAGGAAACACAAATATGTATTAATATTGGAAACAGACGCTGGATATTTTATGATATATATATATATATTTTTTTCTCTCGTTTTCCGTTGAACTGAAAACATATCGCAGCAGCTACCGTTGTGTTTTATTATAGGTCCATTATTTCGATTTCAATTTTACTTTTCAGTTGCTAATTTAATGGAACGGAACGAATATTTTGCATTGCGAATCGGTCGAATGCGAAACGCGCGCTGAGGGTAAAATGAAAGGAAACAAATAAACAGATACAACAAACAAACAACGGGATGTATTTCGTTTCGAATTGATAAATTCCGTTTTCAAAATTGTATACTTTGCTTGAAGCTGACTGATTTGAACGGTACCATATTTTGTTTCAGCTTTGATTTGATTCAACAACAAACATCTTAGAGAAATTCTAATGATGGCAAAAGCGAGCGTGTTGTGTAAATTTAATCTATTGTAAAACACACCTAGTTGCTGCTGCGAGAGAATCGAATTTCCCGCGCGTTAGGTTTCAATGAAACGTCATTAAAGCTGGCTACTCTTGGGACTGGCGTGTTCTATGATGATAACAGCCTAGGTCCAACCAAATTTGGACCCGGGTCACATCCGATACTATCCGAGGTACGCCTGTACGTTCGAACAGGATGCCAAATCACTTGTTTTTGTACAGCAACGGCCGCAATCCATGGGTTAGGTTAGGGGGTGGCTACCCTTCCTGCGGTCGTAACGCTACACGATTAATTAACTTTCATTAGTTGATTTTACTCGAGCATCTTCTAATTATCAATATTTAATTAAATATTAAACCATTTAATTGGCTTCGATCCAACTCGTTGCTATCCGGTTTACACAAAGACCTATGCGATTGGTACAAGTACAGGTCTGCATCATCGATCATACCGATTGAAAATAAACATCCCGCAGGGTTCTTTTCATCTACGAAACACTCTCTTTTCGAGATGGATCACTTCTAATGTTACAATTCATGTTACATCGATTTCCTTCAACAATTTTCCTAATAGGACCAATTGAAAATTCATCTACACATCAGTAAAAATCCATATTTGTGTTTTTTTTTTCATATTAAACAAAAATTGCAATAATAATAACTATTAATTATTTAAATAAGATATGTAATTATTAAATGCAATCAATATAAAAATTTAAGCAATATTTTCATATATTAGTGATTTTCTCGAAATCTATAGTAGATTTCAAAAACGCTTATGAAAGCTGTATGTTTGAAGTTGATATAGTTTCATATATTTGACCATAATTCGGTTTCAAAGTTGAAAAAAAATAACTCTCGAAAAAGCAGTGTTTTCAGACGAATATGAAAATAAATAAATTTTGCTTGACTGTAATTTAATGTTTCGTTAAGGACTAGCGTTTTTTTCACAAAGGTATAAAAATATTGCCTGTAATAATACAGATCTCTACTATTCAGTAAACACGCAATCAATATAGAAAGTAAAACATTGAGTAAATATTGATTTTTTTAGCTAAAATTTGAATGAAATTTGTAGAATCCTCTTCGCGTTTAAATTTAGTTACAGCAAAGGATATTAGATGGCAGTCATGTAAAACATTGGATAACGACTGAAAATACTAAATGATTAACGCTGTATTTTAAAGTATTAAAGCTGAAATACGAGACGTCGTAAATAGTTTGTTGCACAATATAAAGTTAAAACAATTACAAATAGTTTTTAACATGCAAACCATAATAGATGCTGACTAAGTAATGAGATGTTGGAATCGTTACGTTCACATCCTTTGTTTTGTTTACCACTGATGTAAGTGTCTCCGGTTATGTAAATAATGTAAAGGCGAGTTTGGAAATTAATTTAAAAGTCTCGCGTCTCTGAAGTTTCGCGAAATAATTTAACTTTGCGAGATAGATGCGCGGTTTGCACCGGTCCACGAAGGACTCTCTTCATAATTTCCTATAGGTCCTCGTGAAATCAAGCGAAATATATGAATTGCATTAATTAGTTCTGGCAAGTAATTAAGAAGCTCGATTTCGTGGATAATTGAATCAAGGCTATGATCGATCGAAACTAGGAACAAACAAAATTAAATTAAACAAACCCAAAACAACAACAACAACAACAAGAAAAAAAAATGTAAAAGAACTTGCTTCCTCCTGAAATGATCCACTGCCTACGGTGTCGACCATGCGTGAATCCTTTGTCTTTCATACCGATAAATACGAGTGGTTATGCGTGTGCAAAGCAGAGAGAACTTGGGAAGACACATTAAATGGATCGCAGCTCAGAACGGGAACTGCAAACAATTCCAAAGATTAAGTTCATGCTGGGGGAGAGAAGGCAAACAATTCGACTTTAAAAACAAAATTCGTTTTCCGCAAAGCCAATTTCGAATTATTTTTCATAAATATTGGCGACGTCCTTTATCACAACAACAGAACAACACTTATTATCAGCGTGTTTAATTGATTTCAGTATAGTTACGCAATTTGCATGCAGCTCAATTACGCCCATGGGTGGATGCGCCGGGTCGCATTACAGAGATGCAGCGCCGTTAAAACTCTCTTGAATACTCTAATAACGCGGAATTGGTACAATCTAAATACGCTCTTTGCCTTAATTTTCAATTCTCTCTGCTCCACAGGGGTTTTAAATAAGATTAGAAAAAAAATTCTTTAGTACTCTTATTTAATAAGAAAACGTCATTTATACAGTTTTAATTATTAGATATTCTTAAGAAATTTCAAGAAAATTGCAGATAAATTTCTTGTAATATTTTTGTTTCATAAGAAATGTTATGACATTAATTGAAAATTAAATAGAATTTCTGAAATACAGAATTATTATTGAGTATAATTAAATTATTTTGAAAAAAAAAAGTACATTTGTATAAAATTGGAAAAGTGAATAGAAAAATATTATATTAAGACTGTTTCGTTGCGTCCGAATTGAAACATACGTTGTGACAACTACAAAAGTCGATACTTGTTGCTGCGGATGAGCCTTACATCACTTCACGTACGTAAGCCTAGAAGTTGAAATATCGGGAGTCTCTCCTTCGGGTTGGCTAATGTCATGGAGCTTAACTAAATTTAATCCCTGCATAATTTATTCTTTCGTCTCGAGTTGCGAAAGTCAAAGTATATTTATTTAATGGGTGTTTCAATTAAGAGGATTATAGTATTAAAAGCAAATACCAAAAAAAAAATATGATTAAGAAGAAGACAGAAAAAATAAATGACGACGAGACGAGTGAATTTAAAGAGGTACATTATGATAAAGTGATGCAAGGAACGCAAAAGAGATATTTTTTTTGTAGACATTAAATGAAGTATACTATATAACTTGAATCTATTATCAATTTTTTCAATAAACTATTAATGTAAAAATATTTTTAGTTAATTTCTGATGTATTTTGTTAAAATGTTTATATGGATAATTCACTGTATTACAGTATGAGAGATTCCGTTGAAATATTTTAATTCTGTAATTAGGGATAGGTTATAAGGAATTGAGATGTAGAGGAGGATTATTTCCGGGTAGGAAATTACTTTGCATATGCCTATTACAATAGAGCTCTAAATGAGAAGCTATGGAACCTCCTGGAAAGGTGATGGTTTTTTATTGTTCGTCTTTTTCGCTTGGATGTATTAATTACAAGTGGGGACAGAGTGCCGAGACGGTCGAATCGGTGAATAAGAAAAGGGTTTTTGTGCAAGGCTTAAAGCTTGAAGGGCTTGAAGTGATCCTTCTTGCTCCCTCAGCCAGTTTGTCACGAATATTTATTTAATTTACTTTTCTTCCCTCCCATTTCTTGTTCCAGTTTATTTATTTATTTATATTTTTTAATGGTCGCTACCCCTGCAACTCGAGGAAATTTAATTAATCCTGCACCCTCCTCAATTTAATCGCAACGTTTCCGAGATAACGCCTGTACATAGATACACATAGTTCGCGTACATCATAATGAAAGTGTTTATCGAGTTAAAAGATAATTCATCATACCGCCAAGCAAGCAATTAAAACGAAACGCGATTGGTGAGGGGAAGCTTCACCAGGATCATCAGATGTAAAGGATAAACTAAGGATAATCAGAGATAACTCTGAGATGAAGGTGGAGATGGTGAAGGAGTCCACTCCTCGGTGATGGTGGTGCGCGCCCACGTTAACAATCGGCGGCGACGCACTCCTCCGGAGTACCGAGTCCTGTTGGATGTTTTCACTTCACAACCGTCGAACTCTGAAACTGAAACACACGCACCGAAAGGTCCGGTCCGCGCGACACGCGCTTTACTTCCGCCGGATATCCGGAAACGCTCTTCTTATTAACAATTAACCGTTTTAAGTGATCAAAAAACTTTTGTTTTATCATCAAAACTATTTGGGAATTGCAAACTGGTAAGCTTTTCTTTTTGTATCTCTTCATGAAATTTTCTATGTAATTAGTAAGCGCGAACTTCGAATCAGTTTCAACACTTATTGCCAATGGAATTTCCATTCGGAAACTTCCTGGCATTCCGACGCGACGTTATTAATTCCAACAAAATTCGGCTCATCTCTTCCAAACCCACGTATCTTGAAAATTACCCAAGATAATTTCCCGGTTATTAATTGGAATTCGTAATAACTCTTCTAGTTTAATTAAACTCATTATCATAAAACTGAATTAATTTCAAATTTATATTAATTACACTAAAAAATATTTTATACCTTAAATTTATTTGTAACATTTCTATTTATTTCAATTAGATTCATTTAAAATTTCATTAAAATTAGTATAAACAAACAGATTTTCAATTAAATTTACACATTTTGCTATTTTATCTGAGCGTCCAATTTAAATTATTAATTACTAGAATAACAATTGTAAATGAAAATTTTTCACTCTCTAAAATTATATCAATAAATAGAATTAAATAAAACAACGCTTTTACTGTATTTTCTTTATATAAGTGCACATTAATTAAATTTTATAAATAATAATTAAAAGAAATAGTGATTAGTTAATTATTAATTCAATTTTCAATTCAAAAACGAAAATAATTAAAAAAGATATTTTCAATAAATTTATTGATTCTGACAGTATTTATATATAATAATCAAATTTAATTTTATATTGTAATTTTCCAAAACTATTTCTGTATTGGATTGCAAATGGATTTTGTTTTGTTGCTTCAATGTTATATAAGAGACTTGTAAATTTTCACAATATTAATATTAGTTTTGCTCGAAATTTCTTATAAATTATAATATCTCTCTTACTTGCTTACATAATCAATTTTACTAAAATATCATATTTCAATTTGTTCCCGCATTTTAGTGAATACTAAACTAAATATTGATTATGTGCATCTAATAAATAATGTATGTATTACAAATATGGTTATGCACTTGTACAAGTAAATTTGAAATTAATGTGAATTGATTATATAAATGTGTTGGACAATGGTTTGTTAATGCACAATCGGTAAATCGATTCACTTTGAAGCTGCAAAATGTTATAGTTTTTATTGACTTGTTAATCGAAAACCGCAGACGAAGAATTAAATAACGATTAAACAGGCGCCTCGACAGAAAACGGAAACAATTAGAATAATATCTTTATTCAAGGTCAAACAAATAAATTTATTTTTTTTTTGTTTTAATAAATAAACAATTAAAATCTGATTATTTAGGGCAATTTTTTTTTTACGAATAAAAAGAAAGCTTAGATATTTTAGATTATCCGCCTAAGGCGGATCATAAAGATTAAAAGCGTCGATTTTGTTTATGCTATTTCATAAGTCTAAGTTATTTATATTTTTAGTCTATTTGTAGGTTTTATGATGACATCTTTATAGTAAATTTAAGTAAATGAAATGATGCACTTTTCAATGAAACTAGAAATGTCGATATATCATAGAAGCTTTCATTGACAGCGCCTCTTAAAAATTATGCAATTTCAATCCACTTATTCGTTGAATCAAAAGTGATGAAAACAAATGGTGTTTCGACGGGGCGCGATGAATATTATATAATCGAAAAAATAGACGTTCCGTGCATTTTTACGACTGCCCTACATACGTCTGCAGACGATAATGTATGGCCTTAGGCCTTAAAGGAATGCGCATAAACAATGCACAAAAGAAGTATAAAAAAAAATTTGTCGACTCAAATTGTTCATCGCAGTCATAAAAGACAATCGCTTAGGTGCATCAAGCGGAGCTATTAGAGGTATTAACTCTCCGTTACTCGCACGGTATTTCGTAACATCGTTACACGCGTAGCGTCTGAGAAACGCCGTTAAATATAATAATCTTTCCAGTTTTAAAAGTTACTCTCGGTATGGCGTCTCGCAGATGCCGAGCGAGTAGCGAAGTGTTAAAAACAGGTAATTCCAAGTTCAATTATTTGAATAAAAGACTATTGATTAGGTGCATCAATCGGAGCTATTAGAGGTATTAACTCTATGTTAGTCGCACGGCATTTCGTAACATCGTTACACGCGTAGCGTCTGAGAAACGCCGTTAAATATAATAATCTTTCCAGTTTTAAAAGTAACCCTTGTTGTGGCGTCTCGCAATTGCCGCGCGAGTAACAAAGTATTAAAAACAGGTGATTCCAAGTTCAATCATTTGAATAAAAGACTATTATGTGCATCAATCGAAGTTATTACATGTATTAACCCTCCGTTACTCGCACGGCATATTGTAACATCGTTCCTCGCGTAGTGTCTGAGAAACGCCGTTAAATACAATAATCTTTCCAGTTTTACAAGTTACCCTTGTTGTGGCGTCTCGCAAATGCCGCGCGAGTAACAAAGTGTTAAAAACAGGTGATTCCAAGTTCAATCATTTGAATAAAAGACTATTGATTATGTGCATCAATCGGAGCTATTAGATGTATTAACCCTCCGTTACTCGCACGGCATATCGTAACATCGTTCCTCGCGTAGTGTCTGAGAATCCTTTGAATGAATCCTTTTTTTCTTTTTCTATTTACAAGAAGCTCGTAGTTTTAGCATATGTTTTTGGGAAAAACTATGACAGCTATAAAATGTATATACGTCCGGTCGCAAATTTCCGCAACTTACGGCTGAGTTCATGCAAATTGAAAATCGATTTCGATTATTAATAGCGCAAAAGTAGAAACCTCCTCGTTACGTTATTATTAAATGTCCATAAATGATGGAAAATAACTTTGATAATGAATTGCTATTTTAATATATTATTATCCATCAATGAACACAAAACATCGACGTCCCAGGTCATTCAACAACATAATACGTAATCGATTCAAATAATTTTTATTGAGAGCAATCTATAAAATAATTCAAAACATTTAATTAAATTTGTTACTCGCGCTGTGTTTGAGAAACTCCGTCAAATATAACGTTAGTGATTCATTTATAGAAATAATTATACAAGAGAACAAAAAATAAAAGATAAAAGGTTTATTTTATAAAAATACAAAAAAAAAACTATAATTGAAGTAAAAATTGAAAATGCACAAATTTTACTAAAAATAGATATTTTATTTACAGAATAAAAATTTGTTTTTTTTATTCATGAAATAATTGTATGAATTATTAAAATTATTTGAATACTCAACTTCCTCATCGATCACAAATTTATAATGTAAATTTTTATAATCCTTTGATGTTCTGATTCTATTATTCCTTCCGATCCTTGATTGTGCCTTATTCATCCTATTGTAATAATCAAATTTTTAACTGAAAAAAATTACTTTAATCCAAAACTTGTTCGATTATTTCGTAAGATATTTTATTGTTGTTTATTATAATTTCGCATTACATAAAGATTATTTTTGTAATTATAAAATGGTTATACTGGAAATTTATGTTTAAAAAAAAACAAACTTTTCCAATTTTCATTACATCTAAATCCGTTTTGTTCCGGAATAAAGGCTCATCAACATCGTTGTGCTCAATTATGTAAGGGAACTAAATATGAAGTGAAGCAGGACAACGTCGCCGTCGGATTCGGTGCGACAAACAAAAAAAAAATAATGACCGGAATCCAGTTATGCAACAACGGAAAGTTTTAAGCGGATGATTAAAAGAAGTTACTGTCAGATACACGTTTCTTCTCGGTCGACCAACCAATTGCTGGTGATTAATTATCATCACGTTAATGGAATGCCAGGATGATCCACCTAATTGATGGTTCCGCATTCCTCCTGAGGTCATTAAAAGGACTGTCATCCCAGGTGCATCCTTCCGATCGATACCTCAATGATAATAATACAATTTATGCATACAGCAGCAACACGCTAATAAGCATATTTAACTTCGAGATGCACTTCAGGGCTGTATCGACCCTTAACATAATCATCTAACTAAGTTACCAGTATAATTCAACAGATAACTTTAAAGTCAACTACAGTTTCTATTTGAAGACAAGTTTCTATTAGTAAGATTTGTAACGTAGCTAATTTGACACTTTAACTAAAAGATATAATCTATATCCAATATGCGGATGATCATAGGTACCGAAAAATAATTTGCCTAGTGGCTCCAATTATCCTTAATTCGCCACTGTATATAATACAGGTATCTCCCGACTTAAGCACTTCTTCTGTCCCAAAGGGTTGTTCGTAAGTCGAATTTGTTCGTAAGTCGGGGGAATTTCAAAATATACTTATCTTACAACACTTTATCATGACTTTTACTTTAATATATGTTAAATTCCGTATTGACATACTTTTCAATGTAGACATCACAATTATTTAATAAAAAAACAACAAAAGAAACAAATTCAACAACACAGATAGTGCATTTTCCAAAATTATTATATTTTATTAAAGAATCCTTGTAATAAGTTAGAACTTGTAAAATTTTGTTAGTAAGTCCGGGAGATTGTAAGTTGGAGATACCTGTATTCCAAAAAAGTGTCATCTTGCAAGCAACGCATTTACATCGCCAATTTGCAACTAACAAGCGGTTAAATTAACGATCTTAATAACAATTATGACTAATTAATGTTATCCTTGAATTTGCATACAGTAAACATAGCGGTACTTCCTGATGCAATAAATTTGATCGTTTTTAATTAAACGCACCGCCGCAATATCGCAAAACCGAAAGAGAAACAATAACAATAATAGAGCACAGATTAGATTATGATTTTTCTTGTTTCCGTTATCAGCGAATTTAACTATATAACGTAGAGTTACTGGTATAAAAATTGAAGAGATTATGTTAGGATTAATTTAATCTTTTCGATAGTTTATTTTCATTGTTGCATAAAAATAAATATGAATATAAACTGGATTGTAAAGATGAATGAGGTCTTGTAATGAGACCAAGAAGAAAATGTAGTTCAAAGTAGAACTGATTTTCTTAAACCAAAGACGTGTTTGTGTTATTATAACGAGTCGAGTTTCTGTGGATGCGCGGA